CAATGTTGGGGCTGGCCTGCCTCTGTAACTCCTTCACCCAATTCTTGGCCCGTGCAAATGTATCCTGAAGAGACAGGATCAGAGTGTCAATGGGACATAGGAGACATTCTCCAACAAACTCAAGCTGGCACAGCCAAGGCATCTGAGCTGTCATCCCCAAAGATTCTCATGAGATAGCCCCAATCAACAGAGGAAATCTGTCCATTTCCCACCCAGGAACAAGAATTTGATATGAGGCTTTTATGACCCAATTCCTGGGGCTTCACAAAGATGAAGGGCAGGAAGAAAGGGAAGGAAAATCTTTACTGTATTGGTGATGTCATAGACCACAATGGCTGCCTGGGCCCCCCGATAGTACATGGGGGCTAGGCTGTGATATCGCTCCTGTCCGGCTGTGTCCCAGATCTCAAACTTGACTGTTGTATCATCTAAGCAGACAGTCTGTGTGAGGAAGGCCGCTGTAAGAGAGAAGGTGGTGTCACCAGGCGGGGTGAGCTAGAAGCCACCCTAACAGATTTTCCGTTGCTAGCTGGCTCTGGGACATAGAACCCTACTGCTCTCTGCCCACACTGGGTGGGTGGGATCTGCATCTGTCTGCGTGTGCCTTACAGACACAGCCCAGGCAAGAGCTGGACACAGGAAGCACCTGCACTTGAGCCATCTGAGAGCCACTCTGAAGAATGCAGAGGGACAGGAGAAGGGAGGCTCAAGGGCACCCCGATGACAAGCACAGAAGGGCGAGACCCCTTTTCCCCTTGCCCTCCGCCTGCTTTCCCCCAGAGCAAAGTCTAGCTGAAGGCCTGCTTTAGCCCAGGGGTGACCATGGCCTTCAGCTTCAGGAAGGCATTCTCACTGGCTTGGGAAAATAGTGTCACACTGCCAGGCTGAGGCTGGGTAGCTGGGCTTCCCAACCACCCCTGCCACCTCCAGACACTCCAGCCAGTCCATCTTCGCTCTGATCCAGACCCGTTCCTGTATGGCCACAGAGATTCTCTCTCGGAAAGGGGAATACAGGACACCAAAGTAAATCTGCTTCAAAGGAGAAGTTCCGGAGGAGCTGGGACAGGTAGGGTCCCCTGTACCCTGGACCCAACAGGGGATGATCAAGGACAGCTCTGTAGAAAGCTGCTTTCCTGTGTGCGCCCCACCCCCACCCACGGAGGGGGCACCACCTTACTTCCCCCTCTACAGCTCCAGACTGAGTGCTGAGGAGGCAGGGGAAGCTGCTGACATGGCCCATTCTGTTTCCAGCTGCCTGGAAACCTCCTACCAACTGAGAGAGTAGAGAATGACTCAAGTCCAAGGATGGCCCTGGTCTCTTGAGGTTTACATTGACCACTGACATGAGAGGCTGAGTTCAGACTCTTATTCACATCCTAAATGCTGACCAATGGGGAATCAGCAACATGCTCTGAGCTCCAGAAAGGGCAAAGATCAGCCTCAGAAATGCCAATCCAACCCCAGCTAAGATTTATCCCCATTCTGGAAAGTAAGGAGGGGACGGGGCACACATGTTGCCCCACAAAACAAAAAGGACCATCTGAGAGCTACAGACAGTCCTCCCTGGTGCCAGGTCAGTGAAAGGGGTTCAGTGTATCCACACAAATAATAAAGAGGCTAGACCAGGCAAGAGGCTGTTTTCAATTCCTAGTGGCCATGCTCGTTGGATCTCTGACTGCAGAATTTGATTCCAGGGCCCTAGGAGGGAAAAGTGCTGCCAAATCAGACATATTTAGTCTGATTCCTTCTCTTCAAGGCCAAGACACTTCTGGCTCCCCAAGACCCCAACTCACTGTGCTCACTCACCTCCAATTGTGCTCTCCTGGTACTCGTGGAATTGTCCTTTGACAAAGCGGA